AAGTGGCAGTACCTCAGCCATTCGGTCTGAGGCCGATAAGTAAGCACTTCAACACCCTCTTAACATAAATGACTACAAACACACTATTCGCTTGATTTCAATAGAGCTTTTGTTTACACTAAAGTCGGCCTAGACGAGTATTTCATAGTGGATATACAGTGAACGTTTTGTACGCTGCTATTCCGCAAACACCACACCTTCTCAAACATTCATGTTTCCTACATATTTCTATGTACTTTGCAAATCAAAAGCCATCTGTAATAATTTTTGCATTTTTCACCATATTTCATGCATTCCTGTACCGCCCGACACGGGTGTTAGTAGCCCTAAGACAAAGATTTGTTCACATCGACAAGAAACTGTTCAGAAAAACCTACGGAGGGTTAGTACAGTCTCACTTGGAGTATGCCGTCCAGGCCTGGCGTCCACGGTGTAGGAAGGATTATCTGCAGCCGGAAGGAGTGCAAGCGAAGGCTACAAATATATGGTCAAGCGTCTGCCTTACGTAGTCAGAGTGGCTGAACTAGATATGAACCGAAAAATCGGCATCCCAAGAAGTATAATTATGTAGAGAAAGGACTTTGAGAAAAGATGGTTTATTAGGTGAATTTTCGAAGCTGGAGCGCCGCTTCGTCTTCAGACGTGGAGAAAAGTGAATGGGCCAAAAACGGCTAACAGTTAACATCGAAAGTCCGTGAGAAAATCGATGTTAACTGTTAGCCATTTTTGGCCCATTCACTTTTATCTATGTCTGAAGACGAAGCGGGGCTTCAGCTTCGAAAATTCACCTAATAAACCATCTTTTCCCAAAGTGCTTTCTCTACATGAACTAGATATGTTTCCTCTGAATTACAGGCAACTGCGCGGTGCCCTCATTCAAACCTACCGAATCGTTAGGGGCCGTGAGTGCGCCCTGGAATTTGATGAGTTCTTCGAATTGGCTCGGAGGGACCACCTGCGGGGTCATCCCATTAGGCCGCAGAGGAAGCCGGCCCGTATGAACGATCGACGGAACGCCTTCTGGCGTGGAGCGGGCTCCCTGAAGAGGTGCTCGTTTTACAGGCTGTTGCGATATTCGAGTTGACCCAATTGTGAAAAAAACTCGAGGCGTTCGGCGGGATATGAACCCGTGTATCAGAGAAGGCCTTTACCGGCGGCCAACGCTCTAACCGCCAAGCTACAAACGCCCCACCTCGCGACATGAATTTAATCACACTTGGGTCGATATTACCCGCCCATATGGAATCCACCAATACGGAACAGCAAGCTGACGGCCCAAGCAGGATTTCTTAAGCAATCATCTAGAATCCATGAGAATGACTACTAGGCTGACTGAATTATTAGCAGGTTTGACAGATTTGCTTAATTTGAGTTGACCCAATTGTTTAAAAATTCGAGGCGTTCGGCGGGATATTTGTGATATTTGCTGAGAAACTGTTCTACATATAATGAACATTCTGTCATTAGAGGCAGTTTGAAGCTAGCTCACTGATGTTAACTCTACAACTGTCAAACTTACTGCCGTTAACGTAATTATATCTTTGCGATATGAATTGGGACCTCAAGGGCGAACTCTTCATTCCCTCAATTAAATGAGCTGACATATGCTACTAGTATTGCAGACGAATCCACAAGTTTTACTACTGTCTGTCTGTTCAAAGCATGCGAACGTTACGCAGTTTTGGTGGGCCGGTTGGCAACCCGGCCACCCTAATCACCACCGTCGCCACGCTCCTAAACCCAGCGGCAGCGTTCGGCTGTGTATTAGAGCTCTGCACGAGAAAGCTGTCGTCTCGTGTCTCTCGGATCTACCCATTGATGACTCTGCCACCATGACAGGCTTCCAGCGCCGTCCCCAGAGCGCCGTTTTCGACGGTCTCTTTTGGCGGCTATTCACCTCCACTTGCAGCCTCGTAACAACAAATACGTATTGGCTACTCAATGATCCTGCGCCAGTACTAACACCGACTCGATCCGTTCACACCCGACAGCGCTGTCTCTCCGCATAACTGTCAACAATTTTTTCGCCCGCAGTTTCCAGTCAGGCACCTAACTCACCCCCTGTGGACCTTTGGCTCAAGCCGATTGAGGTCTCGGCTTTCCTACGTCCTCCAAATACAACCAGTCTAAACTCCGGTGGGGCCTTTTGATCCAACAAGGGCTACGATACAAACACACACAACCTGCAGCAGACTGGGTCTAACTTCATTCGCGAACCCGTCTAATCTACCCGACATTCACATGGAGTAGAACCTTGTTGCAATGAATCGGTCGGCCTTCGCATCTCATCTGAGAGGCCTTCTATGACGAGGGAGTACAAAGACAGTGGG